TGTTTGACGTACTATTCCGGGTTACCAACCACGGAGGATAGTTTCGTCGTGTGCGGATGAATTTTAATTTTACCAGATACTGTCCCTAACCAACAAATACAATGCTCATAGTATATAGACTGGATTGATATTTTCAATACTCAAACAATAATAAATAACAATAATACTTGTACAACCCTACTTACGAACTATGTTAGTAGCTTAGACACAGTAGGTTTTAAATAATAATAATAACAAATTCAATAATAAATATTTTGACAATAATTGTTGGCTTAAAGCCGACTCACAACACCCGTGTAAGAAGAATAGATGGTGGCAATGAATGGCAAAAACTTCCACAATCAACAACTTTCCGTTGACCAGCGCTTGAATATCAAGTAGTCCAACGTGGATATGGTGGCGATCGAGGAACAGCGCAGGTTTGGTTTAAGTGAATTATAGTTACAAACCGAAATTACTCCGCAAAGCGCAAAACCGCACGAGACACAGCTCGACAACGTACGTGTTCCAAGGTTCGACGACGACGACGACGACGTTCATAGACCGCTATGTCGACCGTCTTTGAAGCCGTATGATTCAGGCGGAGGGTTATCACTCTGTACTCAACATACTCCCCCATTGAAAGACATGGACTTTCAAGAATTGTAAGTCAAGTCCATACACGGGTGACACTAATATAATGAGTTATAGTACAATAATACAAAATTACACTAATTATTTTTACAATATATAATTTTTTTTTTTTTAAATACGACAGTAGAAAATCAAACAATTTTAATATTACCACACCAATGGTGGTGTAAGTGTGAATGTCGCACGTATAATTAACACACGACACAAAAGAAAAACTTAAATAATAAATGAAGGACAGGATTATTGAGATTCGATGGGAAGTATAGCTAGCTTAACCACTGGCCTCACTAATGTTCCGGTGGCAGTACGTACTGTCGCAACTCGTACTACTCCATCTGAACCTGGGTGCGTATGTTCAATCCGACCAAGTTTCCACTGAATAGGTGGTTGGTTAGGCTGATGCACCAATACTAAATCACCAACCTTAATATTTGGTTTGTTGTCTAACCATTTAGCCCGACCTTGCAATGATGTAAGGTATTCGTGAGACCAACGCTTCCAAAATGATTGGTACATCTGTCGGAGTAACTCCCACCGCGTCAATCTGTTTTGTGCAACTGCCGTGACGTCAGATTCTGGTATATCCACTAACGGGTGGCCAATTAAAAAATCACCGGGTGACAGCGCCCGATAATCATTTGGGTCTGCTGACGGGGCGACTAACGGTCGCGAGTTCAAGACGGCTTCCACTCTTGCTGCTAGTGTAGTCATTTCCTCGAAAGTTAGTCGTTGAGTGCCGATGACGCGCTTGATGTGATATTTAGCTGATTTCACGGCGGCCTCCCATATCCCTCCAAAGTGGGGAGCTGCCGGAGGGTTAAAATGCCATTTGCACGGTATATCATCAATGTATCTGGTTCGTGCGGTGGAACTGAGTAAAGTATTACGTAGTTGCTGGTCAGCTCCCTTGAAATTTGTACCACAGTCCGAATATATATCGGACGGTTTCCCACGACGAGCAACAAACCTCTGGAGAGCCGCCAGAAAGACCTCGGTTGATAAATCGGTTACCACTTCCATATGCACTGCTTTGACCGCCATACATATAAATACAGACAGATAGCATTTGATTGACCGTGCATTTTTGCGCCGTCCTTCAGCAATCATGAACGGGCCCGCAAAGTCTATTCCAACGTGCAGAAATGGTCGAGAGGGGGTCACTCTACTCGACGGGAGATCTGACATGATCGGATGTATAACGGTCGGTCTGTGGCGCACACACGTTACACATTTAAATATTACATAACGAATGGCTGAGCGACCTGATATTATCCAGTAGCGACGTGACATTAACGATGACACCAACTGCGGCCCCGCATGAAGGTGCGTCAAATGAAAATGGCGAATTAGTAGGGTGGTCACAATACTACACTTAGGTATCAATATAGGATTTTGTGTTTCGAAAGGCACCTGTGACTGTCGAAGTCGTCCACCTACACGTATAATATGGTTTTTATCAACAAACGGTGCGAGCTGAGCAATAGACCGAGGTGACACTTTCGCTGTTGGAGACTTTAGTGTATTAAACAAGTTAACAAAGTAGGAACGCTGTGTCATACGAACAATGTGTATCATGGCCACTTCCATTTCTGTGTATTGAATAGGAACATCGTGAGTGGGTAACTTACGAGCACGATTGACGAACCGTAACATGAACGCCACCACCCGTTGCATGCGATTTAACGACGAAAATCGGGTTACCCAATCAACATCTACGTTGACTAGTGATGCCAAACACGTTTTTGGCATATTACTGCGATACTCAGGCAGATGTGATGGTGGTAATTTATTGGCACATACACCAACCCAATTCGATTCAGGGGTTTTTAAGAATGGTGGACCTTGCCAAAAGAGATCGTGATCGATAATTTGTGAGGGGAGTAAGCCCCGTGACACACAATCAGCCGGATTTGATTATGATGCAACATAGCGCCAATTGCACATTGGTAACAGTTCCACAATCTTTGCGAGCCTATTTGTTACAAATGTTCTGAATTGTTGTTGCGACGATGTTAACCATGATAGAACCACTTGTGAATCCGTCCATGCATATATGTGGCTGGCAGGTACAATATTTTCAAACGTTATTATCAGTCGGTTTAAAACTTGTGCCAATAACAGCGCTCCACACAACTCTAAGCGTGGAATAGTTAATGAAGTATCCTTACTCGCAGACTTCAACGGCGCCACCTTGGACTTTGAGGTAATAAAATGAATCGTAATATTTCCATCAGCGTGACATATTCGCAAATATATGACAGCTGCGTACCCCTTTTCCGAAGCATCTGAAAATCCAATTAATTGAACATTACTGTCATCTGGGCATGCAATAAATCGAGGTAGTCGTATCTTGTTGACACATGATAATTCCGATGAGTATTGTTTCCATATATCGCACAATGATTCCGGGAGCGGGTCATCCCATTGTAGCTTAAGTTGCCACAACGATTGCATATAACATTTCGCCCAAAATATTATCGGACCCAGTGCCCCGATTGGGTCGTAGAGTTTAGCAATCGTAGATAATATCGACCGTTTTGTATAAATTGTGGGTATTGGCGACGTGTGGTAACTAAATGTGTCGGTAGTCAGCGTCCAATGTAACCCTAAAATTTTTACCGACGTATTATCTTTGGGGTCGAATGATGTATGAATGGATCGATTTTCTTCCGGAATATGGCGAAGTAGTTCATCACAATTCGAAGACCATTTTTTTAATTCAAATCCTGCGCTCGCTAACAACTGAGTTATATGCTCTTGGCATTTAACAATGCCGTCAACAGTGCGATGACCGGTCAATATATCGTCAACATACGTTTGTGTAGACAAGATGTTTGACGCACACGGATATCGGTGACCATCTGTCTCTTCCAATGAATGTAACACTCGAATGGCTTGGAAAGGTGACGATGTGACACCGTAGGTCACTGTAGTTAATTCATAATCTTGCAGGGGATCGGACACAGCATTACGCCAAACGATATGTTGGTATTGGCAGTCATCAGGATGTATCTTGATTTGCCGATACATCTTACAGATATCGGCCGTAAACATATACTTATGAAGTCGACATCGATGTAATAAATCTGAAATATCGTTCTGCAATTTTGGGCCCACATGTAGCATATCATTCAACGATTTTCCAGTGGAGGATACCGCCGACGCGTCGAATACTACTCTTAACTTAATAGTCTTGTCACTTCGTTTAATCACTGCATGATGTGGAATATGATACTTGCCCGGTCTCGACGCGAGTTGCATATGTCCCAGATCTTCATACTCCCGCATAAAGGCCCGGTATTGTTCATACACTTCCGGGTCTTTGATAAATTTACGCTCAAGGTTTAAAAAACGTGCGACGGCCATGTCTCGTGACACCCCAAGTAACGAAGAATTGTGTTTAAATGGCAGCGATAACGTAAACCGACCGGTAGCATCTCGAGTCGTAGTGCGACAGAAAAATTCTTCGCATTTTTGGTCACCCGTAAAAAACTTATTCGTGGGTATTGGTTCTTCGATTTCCCAAAATGTACGTAAAAGATTATCAATCGTCACTTCTGAGGTTAGCATTAGGGTCACCTTCGGTGATTTATCTTTATCCACTGATGAACCTAAAATAATCCAACCTAACGTGGTTTCTAACGCAGATGGTAGTCCAGGGATATGTAGTGCACGTGATGACGGCCCTAATATCTGTGGATAGACGTCGGCACCCAATAGGAAATCAATCGGTCCGGGAATGTCAAACTGCGGGTCAGCCAATAACACGTGACTATATGAAGAACGGATAGAGTTGGGTAGCGGCATGTTCGGCATAAGGCCAATAATTTTTGATAAAATTATAGGTTCACAAAATATTTTTGACTCGTTAGTAATGGAATGGACTATGGACGCTATGGTACAATCCACCACACCCTTCGTCGTTGCTACGCGAGTTTGTGATAATCCTGTTACAGAGGTTGTGCAATGGCGACGTTTGAGCCCCAGTCGAGACACACACTAATTTGTTATGATTGAAACTTGTGAACCCGGATCCACTAATACTCGAATGGGTGTCCATTCTCCGGCACTATTTCGTATACGGACTATCGCGGTACCGAGTACCACATTAGCCGCACAGCGTGAGGTGCCAACAAATTGAGAGTTGTCGACACCCGACGACGAAGATGGAGTGGAACTTTCGGAAGACGATTCTTCGGCGTTATGATTACGGGAAGAACGTGCCGACGTTTTGAATTCGAGATGTAGCAACGAATTATGTTTCAACGAACAATGTCGACACGTGTGAGTAGATTTACAATCCGATGTTTTATGTAACGAACTTAAACAGTTCATACATAATTTATTTGATCTTGCAAACTTAAATCTTTGTTTCACCGGACGCTGCGTAAATTTAGGACATTGATATAAATTATGGTTCGATTTGCAAACGATGCAAGTGGTGTTGTCAGAACTCGATGCGGTAACAAAAGAAGATTTAGCTTTATATTGTTTCTCATTGAATCTAGGTGCAGAAACACATGACGAAGACGAATTTTGTAAAACATTACAACGTATTTTTACAAAATCTAATAACATGTCTAACGTCGGTACAGCAACATCGTGATATTCAGATTCAAATAACCGCTTTGTGTTCGAGTCTAATGTACGAGATGCGATGTAGAATAATACAAAACCAGATAAATCGTTCACTTCTAGAGCCTTTATTGCAGCAAAATTCTCCTGGAACGTAGTCACAAATTGTTTTAAATTGGACAACGTCGCAGTGTTTATTAGAGTTAAGTGGAACATACTATCTAAATGTGCGTTTAGGAGTAATCGTTTGTTATCATAACGTTCAAGTAACGCGTCCCATACGATGACGTAATTTGCTCCTGTCAAAGGGACAGATCGAACGACTGACGCAGCAGAGCCTGACACCGCGGCTAACAAATAATGAAATTTCGTAATCGCAGGCAGTAATGTGTCCGAATGAACTAACGAGATAAATGTATCCCTAAACGATCGCCACTGTAATATGTCACCATTAAAGGACGGCA